AGGTGTTCTTCTAAACTAAGCCGCATATCCAGGAGGACGCCCAGATTGCAGGCCCTCTCTGAGGGGGCTAAAATTTCCCCCCCCCCATCATCAAAAATGGAACAAGATGCACAAATCGGGATGACAGCCACTCAGTCTTGGAGGGATTGATCTTGAGTCTGTTCCTCTCCATCCAGATCCGCACAGCCTCCAGGCATCAGGACATTACGTTGAGGGCATCGTTTGGGTGGTTTGGGGTAGAGATGAAAAGTTGGTTATCATCAGCATATTGATGATACTGTACCCCAAAACCATGGATGATCTCACCCAGTGGTTTCGTATATATGTTGAACAGGAGGGGTGAGAGAATCCTGGGGCACCCCACAAGTGACATGCCTCGGGGTCGATCCCCGCCCTCCAGTCAACACAAACTGCGACCTATCCGACAAGTAGGAGGAGAACCATCATAAAACGGTGCCCCCCACTCCCACCCACCCCCCGAGTCGTCGCACTAGGATACCATGGTCGATGGTATTGAAAGCCGTTGAGAGGTCTAATAGGACCAGGACAGAGGATCAGTCCCGGGCCCGACAGAGATCATCAACCAACACAACCAATGCCGCATTGAGTTGCCATGAGAGTTGGTTGACTCTCAGTCCAATGCACCTCACAGGGTTGTTGTTGTGAGGAAGAGGAGGAAGTTGTGTTGGATATGTTTACCTTGAGTTATTTATAAAAATAATAAAGGCAGAATACAAATAAATAAATTAAAATAGTGCTGTTGATATGATGACTATGATCTATATATACAAAAGCCAAACACTATTCATTCATCATGAAATCTCCAAAACCGTAAAGCCTACAAAGTTGAAATTTGGCACGTATGTTCCTCTTGGCTTCTAGGTGCTTGCTAAGAAATGACCATCAGATCATTAGTATTTCTTATACAGTAATTAACACGCTCTGATGCTAAGTAATTCTACTCCCCCTCTCTACCTGAAAAGAAGTCTACTGCCAGTTGCCTCACATTCTGTTACCTCAGTTCAATCTGGCAGATGTTCCATTCCTTCACTCAGGAGCGGTCTGGGGCCCCTTACAGTAATAAACATCGGTACCTCACCAAAATGTCGATGCCTTCCACCTATGGAACTGCTTCCAGACTCAAGGCAGTGGGAGTGATATCTCCTTATGTGTTTCAATCACCGACCACCACTGAACCAACAGATTGTGAATCAAATTTCTTCTGCATAGCCTGATCACAAAGTTTCATCATGAAAAACGGGTACCCAGCTAGTTTAATTATAAACAAGATTATTATATTTATGTGGAAAACAAACTAGCAGAACACTTGTTGCATTGCCTTCTTTACAATATTAATCTATAAAGTTCATGAAGTTGATTGGGAAACTTTATCAAGAAAAGGAAGTATGCCTAAAATAAAATATCCTGTTTTGAGAAATGACTATTTGCAGTTTTCAATGGTCACTGAAGCACCTGTAGAGTACTTTATTGACTGCACTAGATGACCTGAAGCAGAAACATCTTGCCAAGTGATCCACTAACCTAAACTTTGGTTCAAAAGAATACTGAACTTCAGTCTTTGAAAATGGAAAGTTGAATGAAATTGAAAATTAGTTGTGCTTGGTCAAAAGAACAGTAACTTTTGTCTTTACTTTTAGATTTCATATGAATTAAAATCTGATGCTATCTGTTTTCTATGAAAAACCTTCCATTTGATGGGGAAATAAAACAAAATCATTGGAAAACATTGATTCAAAAAGCTAGCATGGTCCCAGATGTTTAGTCAATATATTGTCATTGCTACAGATCATATAATAAATCCTACATATATATTTATGTAGGTAGTGCATTCTAGTTACTATAGGTAATTAGTTAATAACAAGCTAGATTTTTTTTTTTTCATTTTTAATGGGTCTGCATTATGTAAATCACACAAATATTACATCAAAAGAAAATTGTCAAGTTGGGAGAAATGTAGTTGAACCTATCATTTAACCTGTTAAATGAATAAAACATGAAACCTTCTCAGTATTTAAAATCAAATTTCATGCTTTCATTAGTAGATAAGAAAGAGGCTATTCTTAAATTATAAAGAGGGGAAAAAAAGCTTTCTTCATCATCACATCAAAAGGTTTGCATATTGCATGGATCATTGATTAATTCAAAGCATCCAAGCAAATAGTATTAAAAATGTATAAGATAACTTTCCCCTATCTCAGGTTTAATTAAAACCATCCTCTTATTGGATCACCTTCCAAGAAATACTAGTACTGCCACAAGAAACTTCCCTCCAACTTTTGAGTTAACTTTATTTTAAGTATTTGAGATACAAAGAATGCAGTTAAAAATTCTAAAATTCCTCACTTTGATGAGAATTGTTTTACCTATTTAATTGCTTGATTTATAAGATTTCTTCTTTGAGGAAAAACAGATACTATTTTCTTTGGCATGGAAATTTCGGCAACCAGAGAAGAACAGAATAGACTATGCCTGCTATTTCCTTCCTGAAAGCCTGGCCTACACATAGAATAAGTATAGTACAAAATTAAATTCAACAATTATGAATTAAACAGCTATGTGTGCGTGCCTCTAGGATCACATGTTATGCCTTTGCTTTGCAAGTTGTATAGGTTGCCAATCGGTTTCTAGGTGCCATTCAAAGTGCTAGTTTTGATTTTTAAACCTCTACATGACAAGGAACCGGATTATTGTTTCTTCTCAGTTACATTGATTCATCCCATCATGTCCTACAGAAGAATATGCTCTGGGTACTCCCTACTAAGAAGTTCCACCTGGTGGGACTAAAGACATGTTCCTTTTCTGTTGTAGCCCCCTACAACAGAGGGGATGTTAGCACTATACTGTTAGCCTTCTGCAAAACCTTGAAAACATGGTTTTCCCGTCAACCCTGGGTATCCTGGAGCAAGCCTGCAAAGAGGTTGAATGAGGTGGAATATTAGTTGTCCTCATGCTTTTGGGGGGTCTTTTATACAATAATAATACAATAGCAGAGTTGGAAGGGACCTTGGAGGTCTTNTATCCTGTTTTGAGAAATGACTATTTGCAGTTTTCAATGGTCACTGAAGCACCTGTAGAGTACTTTATTGACTGCACTAGATGACCTGAAGCAGAAACATCTTGCCAAGTGATCCACTAACCTAAACTTTGGTTCAAAAGAATACTGAACTTCAGTCTTTGAAAATGGAAAGTTGAATGAAATTGAAAATTAGTTGTGCTTGGTCAAAAGAACAGTAACTTTTGTCTTTACTTTTAGATTTCATATGAATTAAAATCTGATGCTATCTGTTTTCTATGAAAAACCTTCCATTTGATGGGGAAATAAAACAAAATCATTGGAAAACATTGATTCAAAAAGCTAGCATGGTCCCAGATGTTTAGTCAATATATTGTCATTGCTACAGATCATATAATAAATCCTACATATATATTTATGTAGGTAGTGCATTCTAGTTACTATAGGTAATTAGTTAATAACAAGCTAGATTTTTTTTTTTTCATTTTTAATGGGTCTGCATTATGTAAATCACACAAATATTACATCAAAAGAAAATTGTCAAGTTGGGAGAAATGTAGTTGAACCTATCATTTAACCTGTTAAATGAATAAAACATGAAACCTTCTCAGTATTTAAAATCAAATTTCATGCTTTCATTAGTAGATAAGAAAGAGGCTATTCTTAAATTATAAAGAGGGGAAAAAAAGCTTTCTTCATCATCACATCAAAAGGTTTGCATATTGCATGGATCATTGATTAATTCAAAGCATCCAAGCAAATAGTATTAAAAATGTATAAGATAACTTTCCCCTATCTCAGGTTTAATTAAAACCATCCTCTTATTGGATCACCTTCCAAGAAATACTAGTACTGCCACAAGAAACTTCCCTCCAACTTTTGAGTTAACTTTATTTTAAGTATTTGAGATACAAAGAATGCAGTTAAAAATTCTAAAATTCCTCACTTTGATGAGAATTGTTTTACCTATTTAATTGCTTGATTTATAAGATTTCTTCTTTGAGGAAAAACAGATACTATTTTCTTTGGCATGGAAATTTCGGCAACCAGAGAAGAACAGAATAGACTATGCCTGCTATTTCCTTCCTGAAAGCCTGGCCTACACATAGAATAAGTATAGTACAAAATTAAATTCAACAATTATGAATTAAACAGCTATGTGTGCGTGCCTCTAGGATCACATGTTATGCCTTTGCTTTGCAAGTTGTATAGGTTGCCAATCGGTTTCTAGGTGCCATTCAAAGTGCTAGTTTTGATTTTTAAACCTCTACATGACAAGGAACCGGATTATTGTTTCTTCTCAGTTACATTGATTCATCCCATCATGTCCTACAGAAGAATATGCTCTGGGTACTCCCTACTAAGAAGTTCCACCTGGTGGGACTAAAGACATGTTCCTTTTCTGTTGTAGCCCCCTACAACAGAGGGGATGTTAGCACTATACTGTTAGCCTTCTGCAAAACCTTGAAAACATGGTTTTCCCGTCAACCCTGGGTATCCTGGAGCAAGCCTGCAAAGAGGTTGAATGAGGTGGAATATTAGTTGTCCTCATGCTTTTGGGGGGTCTTTTATACAATAATAATACAATAGCAGAGTTGGAAGGGACCTTGGAGGTCTTCTAGTCCAACCCCCTGCCTAAGCAAGAAACTTTATACCATTTCAGACAAATGGCTATCCAACATCTTCTTAAAGACTTCCAATGTTGGGACATTCACAACTTCTGGAGGCAAGCTGCTCCACTGATTAATTGTTCTANTTTTGTTTATTATTTATTGTCCTTGACATCCAGGGCATTATGGCTCAGTGTGAGCCTCATGCCAAGAGACTCTAGAAAGAGTTCAGAGAAGAGCAACCAAAATAATTAGGGGACTGGAGGCTAAAACACATGATGAACAGTTGGGCAAAGCTAGTCTAGTGGAAAGAAGGACCAGGGGAGACATGATAGCAGTGTTCCAATATTTGATGGGCTGCCACAGAGGGGATCAAGCTATTTTCCAAAGCACCTGAAGGTCAGACAAGGAATGGTGGATGAAAACTGAACAAGGAGAGATTCAACCTAGAAATAAGATTAATTTTCTGACAGTGAGAGCAATCAACCAATGGAATAACTTGTCTTCAGAAGTTGTGGGAGCTTCATCACTGGAATCTTTCAAGAAGGGACTGGACAGCTATTTGTTGAAAATGGTATAGGGTCTGCTTGGGCAGGGGATTGGATTAGATGCCCTACAATTCTGTTCCTTCCAACTCTGTTAATTTGTATTTGTATATCTGTAATA